GCAACCTGTAACCTGTTTAGAAATCTTCCACTGTCACTCAGCATTGAGAACAAGATTCGGATTTTCAACACTAACGTGATGTTGGTCATTGCTTCAATACGGGTCAGAAACTTGCACTGCGTGTCAGTCACGAAAAGGATTTCAAACAGCGTGTTGTAGACTTCCATCAATAGCTGCCTTCGCTGGTTCAATACAGAAGATCAAATGGCCAGCCAGAAAGAATAAGCAACAAGAAACTATATGAGCATGCCAACAGGTGAGAGCCGATCGCTCAGCAAATATGTAGGATATTAAAGGGAGATGGATTGGTCCGGCAAACGTTGAGGAGACCGCAAAATGACATCACACTCCAGATCATTACTCGAGTGAAATCCAAAGGAGAAGCGACGAGTGGTTCGTCCTAGGATGACATGATTGAGATCGTGTGACGAACAGATGTCAGATTTTAGTCGATTGTGGACCCAGCTGAAGAGGATTGCAGAAAACAGAACAAAATGGAGGTGAGCTGTTGAAGCCGTATGTTCCACTTGGAACGCAGGGGAATAATAATAATATAACGAACGATTTGTTGGGAGTAATTACATAATTAAAGGGGATAATAATACACTGCTTAATGCAAACTGTAATTCCACCGAAGAATTTCCACATGTTTTTGAGAATTTTTCAAGACAATAATCTTTGTTTACAATTAGTGTCCAACTATTGAATGCTTGGTTTAATCAGGATATTAATATTTTTAGACCAGATTTGTCTTTCGACTCGTACAGCCGGTTTTTTCTCTGTGTAGCATTTTGAGATGAGGAGAAGAGAAACATCCAATTCTTTTGAATAGCGTTTGTTTAGAGCAGCATACATCGATGTAGAATTTTATATAATCTGTAATTTTTGTGATTGTTTCATTCGGTGTGCGTTCAATAAATAGTCCATTCAGTCAGTGAGAGCCAACACATTGGCCAATTACCCATGAATGATTACTTCTACTCCACTAAGCGAATGTTTACTGCCAATGAGTCACAGGTTATGATAAAACAGCCGACCACCACTCATCGTTGATTATCAGTGCCCCTCCAGTCTTATACCAGTTTCAGTTTTCCTGTGAATTGATTGGACAGAAATGTTCTGCATCCGTCGACATGCTGGGACCATCTAGTGCGGACACTTTGATGATGTGTGAGAGTGAACTTGAAGTGAGTTAGATGGATGGTGAGTAGCGATGGCATCGTACCTACAATGTGCATTGCATCCTACTTGGGACTCATCGTCTCGCTTTACCAGTGTGTGGTGGTGTCCCCAGTGAGACTCGAACTCCATGACTATCCTTCAAAACAGCGGGGCGTTGTCCACTAGACCAATCAGGGCGTGAGTACAACCATATCGCGTGCAACGAGCATCAAGTGCTGCATAGTTGAATACACAGGTAGTTGACACCCATCAAATTACTACTTGTAATATTTAGTTAATGTGAAATAATGCATATAACTGTGTATAATACATGTAATCACGTATAACATATCTGACTAGAATAAAACAGTTATCTGAGAAATGACCTAAAACTAACACTTTGTTTCTAAAATTCATGTTTGTTTTGATTTGAGGCCATTTTTACAATCCAGTTAAACTACTGTTGAAGCGCATAGAGAGAGATGGATGGATGCAAATGTTTCTCGTGAATTTTCATTCACAAATGTACACACCTTTCTGAATAATTCAGTGATGGTTAGTCACACAATCATGAATAGTCAGATTCAGTCAATTTCTGATTGGTTAGTGGAAGTAACCACTGTATGGAAGAGTGTGATATGTCAGTGATATAAATAGTTCAACAGAATATCAAAGTGTCAAGCTATTTAGTGACTATTCAGTACACATTACAGGTGAGTTTCAGTGGTATAAATATTTATATGATATACTATGTAATGTGTAATTACCGTTTGAGAAAGATTCACATTCTCATTACCATAACATACCATATATGTATGAATGTTGCAGAGATTGTTTGTGGACAGTCTCTCCTTCACTGGTCCAAGCATCTAGACTAGCTTATTCGTATTTTACAATTAATCACATCTAGCATTGGCTATAGTGAAACCTCCGGTAATCTGTACTGGTACTGGAAATTGTAGTTCCGGACAGATGAAGTCGTTTATTAAATCGCTTGGTAAATATGTTTGTATTGTGGAGTTGTGTCTGTTCATTGTGTGACCCTTTTTCATAAGTCTGTTTTAAAAATTTTGCTGACAACGGATAAAATTCGTGAGCGTTCGTTTAATATAGCCAGATGGATATGTCAAGTAGTACTAATCTAAAAACATGAACCGAGTGAGTCATCACTGACTATTCTTTCTTCCTTAATTCATGCAACTGATTTCGGTGATCTCCGAGGAAATCAATCACGAAACCTGGATATCTCGTCTATCCTGTGAAGACAAGAGACAGAATTCAGATCAGTTTTCTGCTGACTAAGATTCTACAGTTCACAATCCACACTAACCTCATAAACGTCTCATATCGAAATTTAGGTACTCAAATGGCAAGAATCGCATTTGTTTTGATTGTTAGTGAAACGATGGAACATTTAAAAACATAATTTTTGCTAATCAAAAACCGAAAACTGTTTCCTTAGTTGTTGTCTACATGCTTCAATTTAACTGCATAATGAAACCATCAATCAATCAATCTTCTGACTTTTGGAAGTGCTTTTTGTGACTCCCTGGCTGAATTTGAGAACTATATAGAAGAAATGGCATACTGACTGACTGAGTTGACACTGGTGTTGGAAATACCAAATTTATTCTTCATGCAGAGGCGGAGTGCGGGAGATTTCCGAACTGATTTCGGAGTGAGGATAACGGTCTGTCTTAAGTTTACGGTTAGATTTGTCATTGACATCCTCATATGTTTACACTGCGTGTAGTTGAAATGATGCTGCTCAGCCATAAAAAAGTAGGGATTGACATCTTCCGAATTTACTCATTTGACAGTGATTGATTTGCAATTAATAGTGTTCTCTGAGCTGGTTGGTTTAGTTGCGAAGCTTTCGTTGTCCTTCTAGACAACATCTTCAGCGCCATATTTAGCACAAAGTGAAATCATTTAAATTTCATCACGAGTAATATAGTTGCGCCTCCTGGTAACTATCTTTACATATGTATTGACCTTCTTCTATTGACTTGGATTCTAAACTTTCGGGTCACCTGATTTACTTTTTATTAGTTGCTATATTTCGTCTATATTAAGGTACTTGTTAATTGCATTTTCGTTGATTGATGCTTATTGTTAGTGTTAGCTGGTCGGTTGAAGTGTTGTTTGATCGTTTTTTTCAACACCTCCATCTACTCTGTGTTCCTTTGAATTCCTGTGTACGCCAGCTGCTTTTTCTATCAGTTTGTTCGTTTCCGCTTGCATATCTACGTGTATGTGTAACATGTCACATAAGTCGTTTGAGAAGTCCTATAGTATAGTCCCCTTTAGTCTATAGTCCCCTATAGTATTCTTATCTAACTGAGTCGTCTTTGTCTTGTGAATAGTGTTGATATTTTTGGAATCAACACATCTGGTCAACTAATTGTAATACATGCTATGAATCACGTACACTGTACATGATTTCAGTGACGATTCAAAATGATCTAAACATTATCAAATGTATATAGGCGTATCGAATTATAGCATGAATACTCTCTATCTCACCTCTCAACAAATATTATACCAAAGCTAAAATTAAAGGTGTCATAGATGTCAACATAGAGAACAGGTATATATATTAGGGATGAGGAAACAGAAGCTAACACCTAGTCATCTGCAGTCCAGACCTGAATATAAGATATGAGATTATTTCTATTCTCCTTTAATATTGACACACATTTATGTCTTGACAACCGATGTTGTGAGGAAATCTTACTTTACTGTAGCATTAACGATTTTCGTCTTGAAATTCGACTGTATCTTTTATCATACAGCTATCTCATTCTTTCATAGTTGATAAACTAGATAGAGAATTTCGGCAGCCAAAATTGTTAGCAGATTGCGAAAATACTTTCCACTATCTCACTATTCAAATGAATGCATGAAACCAAATACTACTGATTTAATAGGATATCCAGTTGTGTAGCAGAGATACATGCTGGCTGTCCGAACTAACAATTCACGTTATGATGTATGATTTACTTGACACGAGAAATGGTAATCGAAAAAGCAAGTATCGATTGATGACGCTGTATACGACTGGTTAATTGAGATTAGTAGTTTCATAGCCCTCTTCACATCAACAAACCAGCGAAATTGAAGTGGTCTAAACAATACATGGTCATCTCACTTGTCTGGGGTCTAATTCATCAGATGTATCACAGTTTGACTAGGCTGAGAAGAAGAATTGTCTGCGCTCTCTGAGTTGAGTTAGACCAGATGCGCACCGATGGAATCGGTCACAAACCAGCGAAACAGCTGTTCGGTGTTTAGATAACTTCAGTATGGCTGGCTAAAAATACCTACTGGTTGATGCGAGGAACGCTTCACAACTGCTCATCTCACTTTCGCCCCTTCGAACTGTGGAAAATTGACTTGCGAATTTCACCTACTGTACAGTCAAGTTGATCACCATCCGACGATTTATCCGCATATTTCCTCTGGAAAGTGCAACCTAGTTTGGAAAATGTTCAAATATTAGATTCATGAATGCTACTAATGCATAGGATAGCGTTCAATAATTCACTTGCATGTCAGGGTATCGTTCGAATGCAACTCAAATTCGGAATCAATTACTGGGACGTGAGTCCGTCGATGACATTGATGTGATGGTAGGAGTCAGAGGAGATGCGATAATGCGAGCATTAGTAATGCCATGTTGTAGTGGATATCAGTACGTAGGAAAAATTTGACATGTGTTTTTGAAGCTGTATATTACACTGGTAACACAAGGGAACAGAAAAACCTCAATTACTGTCATTCATTTCAAATTACACGAAATGACTAATCATCACCTTTTTCTTATGCTATATATTTCTAGTAAAATGGAGTTTCATGGGTCAAACTTCAACCTCATCATACTCGTCAGTTTGTGCATAGTCAATATTTTGAAGATTGAATCAGCAACGTTTATGCTTCAAATGACAGTTGATGAATCAGGTAATTCAAAAGTATTCTCTGTATATAAATGATTAATGTAGGTGTGATATTACTCTAACTGAGTATCCCAACAAATCAGTTCTTGAAAATCATTTTAATTCTGACTGTTGACTGACTGACTGACTACAGGATGATGTTACCTGGAATTCATATCAGACTTTTGACCACTCACCTGTTTGGTGATTGGTTAACGGTGATGCTATATATTGCGAATTAGCAAAAGTTACATTTCGTAGAACACTTGATTCATTCCTAGTGAATGAATAGTCACTGAGATCATCTCGTCACCTGAACGTTTCTGCTTCCATTCCTCATTAGGTAATGGCGTATATTAGTGATGAGTCTCTGACAGCGACCAAGTGATTGTCCTGTAATACCTGAGTTTTTGAATGCTCTTTTAGCTGATATCAATTTATGACCCCTATTACATATTAGATATTCTAAGGATGTGAGAATATTTCTATTCTTTCGTTATGGAGGTTTGCACATTCGATAGTTATATGGCAGTGCTGCGTGTAAGGTTATCTCAAGTGCTAAATTCAGCGAAGACTTCATTGAAGTGAAGATAGCAGCAAGCATAGTCTGTTGATCTTCCCTATCTCGATGTCCTAGATTGTGCGTCATGGAGCGGGGAGAGAGGAATAGGCTGGAAGAGTTGGTATAATCTGGAAGATCTGGATTTCGAAGCGTCATTTATGTTTTTGATGTATGTTTTATCTCACACAAAATCGCAGACTTAGAAATGGAAACCAACAAGCTTTCAAGAGAAGCAGAAAGAGATTACAGGACTACGAGTGACCATCTAGAAGATGGAATCAATGAAGTTGACCAACGGACTAGTGACAACAGCAAGTACTGATCACTTTCAGCGAAATGAATTTGAATTGAGTAACTTACTTCATTCATCTTGATAGTCAGCATCGTTTCAGTTACATCCAATTGGCACTGATATGCATGTGAGAACCATAGTTGGAAAGGCAAGACAGACGTTCATCACTGTGAATCCGAGGTGAAAATCGTCTGCACTCCACCTTGGCACAAAGAACAACATTCACATTTTGAAGAGTCAGTCACGCCAGTCAGTAACACGTCACATCAGGTTTCACTCCAGAAATTATTAGCAAGACGAATCTGCGAGAAAAAAGACCAACAAAGTATCAATTCATCATGTAATTAGCGTAAAGTTGTGTGGGTGGTTCGAAGACGCACTGGAGAGGCCATCGAATAACATCGCGCGCTAGATGATCGATAGACTGAACCTCGAAAAGGAAACAGAAATTTAGGCATGTGTTAAAGAGTGATATGTGGGAGATGGTGTGGTTTAGAGCAGATGAGAGAACATGGCAGCAGCATATAGGACAAAGGGAGTATGTGCTTTCGAAGGTGTATGTTTCTCTCGGAATCCAGGGGAACAATACAAATATTGATTCGCAAGTTTTCAGCGTTAGAATTAAAAAAGATCTCTCTGTGAATGTCTGCCTTACAGTGTTGTGTAAGTTCCAATAACCGTCGAGGTAATACAGATGATACTGGACTTTACTTTATCAATGTCTCATCGGTGACTCATTTTCTTCTGTATCTTCAGCAGTATAAATTTGAAGTGGGGATATATTATCTAATATCGGATTACTTATATTGGACAAACCAAATGACTTAATTTTAACTCCTATCCAATAATGTTAGCTGGCTCAATCACGTGTTACCTATTCAGATCAACCATTCAGCTCTTATTCTGTCTTATGAAATGAAGGGGAATAATACTCAGACAGTCTATAAATAGGGTTCTGTTTTTCATTTGAATCCAAATGGCTTCCACTTATTTGAGTAGACTTTGTTAACAGAATCAACTGTAGTACTGCACTATTACTCCTTCTTCTGCACACGGAGCGAGATCAAATAGAACTCCTTTATTTCATCAATAGCTTTTCTACGAGGATAGTGGAAGTACATAGGAAAAATTGTCATCATTGCAGGATATTGAAGAGAAAAGAACACAAAGCTCAGCAAAGATAATTTCACCCTCACCAGCACCACAAACGCATCTATTTATGTAAATATATAGTACGTTATATTGTAAAATACTTCGATTGACTGAAGTCAACTTTTAGGCGTTTGGCATGTTTCAGGTAGGACCACGGATTGATATCATTATGCAAAACCATAGAAAACCTGAGATTACTCCTGGATAGCTATTCATTTCCCACCAGTGACTCCTCAGTAGTATGCACACACAGGGTAAATAAACTAGGGCACCCTGGTTACAATGCATGATAGATTGCAGACCAATTAGCCAATTGAGCCTGACTCTAACACCCACGAACGCCTACCTAATTCTACCCTGGTAACTAAGCACTGATGATGAGCCATAAACGGCGATAAAACCACTGACTGTTCAGTACTCCATGGTGGTTTCCAATGCTTCTCAGACTGTATCAGTCCATTGTCAAGCTTGATACTTTCATTTGCTGAGAAAAAAAAAAAATTAAAGTAAATTAGGTGCACTTTAAATGTACCGAGGAATCGTGATTTTAAATGACTAGACTGTGGCCAACTGTCAGATTCATAAATCTATAAATATTCTCATTATTCATATCAGAACAAAACATGTAAGCAAACAATATTGTTTTCAACTAGACGCATTTTAGGCTAATTTATAGATGAAATATTCTACCAATGACCTGCCGTTTGTGGTGTAAAATAATAATAGTGTGCTAGTATTACTAGTAATGTGTTAAATGTTTGAACGTCAGTGATAACCATGACTATAATGATAACAAATAATCATGATATGGTATAAGCAAGTGGCCATAAACATAACCGAGATAGTAACATGTGTATACGTAGATAATTCGGTTAATAAATTAGGTCAAATCGTACATGCTAAGTAGTAATGTAGGTGAAGTGGGCAGATATTTAGAGTTTGAATAAATGTCATCAAGAAACGAAGGAAATGGAACATGAGAAATACTGGGAGGGTTTTGATAAGAATTTACCTAGGTCTGTGTAGAGACAATTGTTAGAACAAAATTGTTTTTTATGCCAGGACTAGGATTGTTCTCTCGAATTTCCACAGCTTCGTCTATTTGTGAAAGGCAGTTTTGACGTACGTTCGAAAGTTTCTCTGGTGTGCCATAGGACACCTTTGAAGGCACTAATTCTGTCCACTTCGTGACTGAATTCTACCAAATGAGTCGAAATAGAACTTCTTACAGATTTCGTTTGGCCTTTTCAGAACCATGTAGGAAGACACTCAATAATGGATTTGTTTACCTCGAAAACATTATGATGAGTACACGTGATCAAGTAGCAGGAGTAGCACTGATGACTAAGTAAGATTATGTTGACAAAGTGAATTTGATTTTGACGGATGAAACGAAGTTCTTTAGGCCTGACTACTCAACGGATCCAAGGAGAAAGGCTGGACAGCAGTGAAAAACACCCTTGAGCAGCTAGAAACTGGAGTGAGCTCAGAGGCAAACGACAAAGATCTGGAAGCCTATTGGGAGTAATACTTTCTGATTGTACGGTCTGCCCAAAGTGCATGAACCGGGACTTCCTCTTAGCTCAGTATTGGACAGGCCTAATTCGACATAGCATCGAGTGGCAAAGTGTCTCGGTGAACTCCTCCAATTGTTACACAAAAATGTGATTATTCACAGTGTTTAAGACGCATTTTCCAGCCAGTGAATTATCTTTACTAAAGTAAAAGACAATTAGCCTAGCTGTGTATCTAAAGATTTGGTTGGTCCAGTGGAGAGAGCTGTATATAGGGTGAACAACCAGACAGCTCAACAAATGCATTAATGAGCATCTTCCCTCATGGTTAAGCATGAAGGCAGGTGCTCAACGATGATCTGGGCTAGAGGTCACGCTATCTGTCATGAATTGCAAGGATTTAGAATTGATGGATGATGAGATGTTGTACTGATGGTCGAATAGTAAACCAGCCTGTCCCGTCACATGACAATCCTGGCTCCGATCGCTGATGCGTCCCTGAATTAGGCCACTATCAAGCAGTTTTATTGATTTATATTCAGCATAATTTCTGACTTTTAGATATCTTTTTACCAGTAGTATGAAACTAAAGATATAAATGACATTCACTAGCAGCAGCTTTGACTTTATGTGATCTCTACTTGCTGATTGGATAGTAATGGACTATTACTGACATAAAATGGACGACGATAGAGGGTGGAGCAAAATTCGATATTGCAGCAAGATATGACTCAATGACTTGAAAGTTATCAGTCGTAATCTCTACTTATTGAACTCCGAGGCTCAGTTGATCAGTAAATCATTATTATTTCACCTGAATCATGGTATGTGTATACGTGTAGAGAGTTATAACCTATCCTAGAAACCATTAGGATGATTTTTGTTTATTTTATTTGCAGGACAATTGACTGTTCACTTTGATGGGATGAACTTCACTTTGCGTGATGACTTTACATTAACAATTCAAGATAATGACTGTGAAAGGAGAGTTTCACTGAAACCACCAACCCTAAATGAGCTGGTGACGAGAAAAGGATATCGTCCGGGTTCTTTGTGAGTTTTGTTTTATTGGTAGTGTTCATATTAGTATGCACATATCACTCACAAACATACTGCTCAGATTTTCATGCAACAGTATTCTATCACAGTATATGCAAGCTTCTTTATGTCGTTGTTGTATTATGTGCACAGTATCACACTTATGGTGTCACAGTAATGACCAGTGTTCCCAGTTCTATCATAGCTCATGTTGTTCCGGGATAATTTGTCAGTCAAACTATTGATGTCGATTTTTTGTTTTCTTCGCTTCATCCCCTATCATCAATTGTCTCTTGTACTGGATATTAATTCCATTTCAACTGACACAGAAGGAAATGACTTGAGATTGAAGTGCAGATATTTTCCAAGGCAGGCATTACAGTGGTACTTCAATCTCTCACCTCACTTAGAATAAGATATTTTCAGCCAGAAAGAGTCTCTCACAGATTTTAAAGCAAACTGACTGATTGTCTTAATATTGGCAGCATTGTGAAATGGAGCAAAAGGAATATATCCCATCTCAGCATGTGTTCGTCTTCGAATCTTTGTTAGTCGTCCCATATCTTGTCGGTTTTTGGTGAAATATATCGTTTCATTCATAGTACAGATAAAATGAAATTTCCTGCTGGTCTAACTCACCCTCTTCTCTTACAATTTCATAATTCATGTATGCTGTGTGCCGAACGTTTCCTTCCCCGGACGTCGCAAAATCAGACTGAGTCACATCACGCAGAACATTGTAGGCTGTAAGTAATGTTAGTGGTGTGCGCATTTGAATTAACTAAAACACATTATTTTCAATAGGCAGTTCAATTCTTGCAAGGAGATAGCTGAAGTTATCTCATCTGCCACTGAACATTCAGTTCAATATTCAGCAACTTTCCTTTTTTATCTCGATGGAGTTGGAACCGGAGTAAATTTGATTAGAAATCATGCTAGTGTGAGCAGCGAAATAAAAGACACTGATGTACCGCATTTTGCACGGGTTTCGTGTGAAGAGACAAGTGTCAGGATGACGGCTAGAAAAGTTTCAAATCAATAATTGAACTGGAAATTCCTCTCTTTAGCTGTGAAGATGACTGCCCATAAGCTCTCATGACCTCCACACATACACGACAAACTCTGTGACACCGGCAGTCAACCAACTTATCATTTCACATCCAGACTCCCCTCGAGCGATGGCCTAATATGTGGTATCACCAAGCTGTCTTCCCAATGCATGTCATATCCATCTCCTTTCTTTTATGCAGATTTTTTCAGAGACAAACTCTTGTCTGTTCCTTATTGTGAACTCCTTCTGGCTAAAATGAGCTGAACATTTTTGTGCAGGATAACTGCCATTGGAAAATATACTATAGATACTGCAAATCACAAAGTTGCATGTGATTCTTGAATTATAGCGCAGTCTTTTATGCAATCCAAAACTGAGCCGTTGATTCTGATGAGTATTCTTGACTTGATTTTTATCTTTCTATAGGCTGTGTAAAAGTTGGTTTGCAAGAAACCGAAATATTCATCCGGAAATAGACGAAGTCAGACAATACTATGAAGGGAGTAATCCATAGAGTATAGCTGTGCAAACAATACTGTATGGGCAGAAAAATGACAAAATTAGACTTCATACTCATTGTGTAACTGAAAAAATCCAAATGTATCAATTTAAATGATTTCCTCGGATGTTTCCAATAAATATGCCTCCTTTTCTGAATGCTGAGTATTCTTCTTCCTCTTCCTGTATATTAGATCTTCATTAATAAATTTATTTGCGTAAACTGTCTTCGTGTTATAGACAAATATGAATCATCTTTGTATGTTGAGAAAGAAATTGAATGATTTATTTTAGTGTTGGGTGTGTCATTCATGTCGAGTTCACTTTTGTCACGGACAGACACTTACAGTATGGAACCAGTGAAAATCAGGAAGAATCAGACATCGCAACTGTACTTAGTAGTCGTATGCACAGTTTGTGTGAATGGAAGCAAATTCGGTGTTCCTGACATTGTTGAATAATCACGGAACAAATCACTTAGTTCTGTTGAAGCGGCTCTTGTCGGTGAATACCTTCTCCTCTACACCTGTGCAATCACATCTATACAGGGTTTTGCTTTGATGAAAGAGGGTAATAAAAGAAGTGGGGATGGGTCGTCACCATCAAAGTTGTTGATATTAGTGGTCACTGCATAAGCGGTGTTGGTTGAGTTTATTTGTGTTACGTATCATAATGAATAATTCATTGTGTGAGTCATGCATTCCCGCCAGTTCTTTCAAAGGCCTAATTCATCGTTCTATGTTAGCTAAACAAAATGGCCAGCCTTTCATCCAATCCATATATATGGTGGGTGAGTCGACTTTCTTCCGGTTTCACTCAGATTGGAGAATATAAGCAAATAGAAAAACGATGAACGGGATTGTAAATCGGTCACTATTTATTATTTGAATTTCTCAATGTCTGTAACAACGATATTTCGGAGAATATTTCAGGGATATGTCAGTATCAATTGATTTAGTTTATTTCGTCATGTGACTGAACAGGTTAGATAACTATTCAGCCACCAGCATAACATCTCATCACCCATCAATTCCAGCTCCTTCCATTTCACGACAGATAGCATGACTACTAGCCAATATCATCGTTGAGCATCTGCTGGCATTCTCAAACATGAAGGAAGATGCTCATTAATGCATTTGTTGAGCTGTCTGGTTGTTCACCCGGAATAGCTCTCTGCATAGTAGTAACTGAATCTGTAGATACACACCTAGGCTAATTGTCTTTCACTTCAGTAAACATAATTGGCTGGCTGGAAAATGACAAACAAAGGGAGCTGGCAGTATGTCTCCAACTGATTGATCTCGATAATCTTAGATTTAAGATTTAACTAGTCAGTCTCCACTGAATTGTAATTTTAGGAAGATTTGTTTATTTCAAACTGCTGTCAGTTAATCTTCAGTATAAATGGTGTTCGTATGTCTGCTTATAAAGCCGGTGCATTTTGGATATTTCCTTACTTCTTTTCTACGGCGTCTTCTGCACAGATCCGTCTTGTTCTATTGGTGAAGCATTTGACCAAAAGTGGTTGTGTATCGGATTCCTAGAAAACTGACGAAATGTGTATATTGTGCTACGTATGTAGGTTGCCTACAAAAACCTCTCTTGAACTAACCATCTGGTCTGTCTTCCACTCAATTGGACATTGAGTAAGTGTAGTCTACCTTCATGTACTTCATCACAACTGAAGATGAGCGATGGATGTTGATCATTTCATTTTATCAACATTTCATTCTTGTCAGCTTTCTTATCATGTTTAATACACTTATTATCAATATAATGGAGATAAGAATCCGTTTTATCAAATACTTGCTGCAAGGACTATTTTCAAGCTTATCAAGAAAGCAATCTGCTAAAATTTGACTCAACGGTGAACGCGTGGTAGTACCGTCGGTTAGCCTGTAATGAATTTTGTTGAATTTGAAGTGTTCATTCGTAGTAGATGTTAAAACCAACTCTAGCAGACTAATAACTGGGATTCCGATGGAGAACTGCTTTTCTGGTATCTTTTAGCAAATAATGCGAAAGTTTTACTCCTATTAATTGAAGTACTAGAGTATGATGCCTCTTAGCATTTTTCTTTTTTGCAGATCCTAAAAGGATTTTTTCACTGCTTTCCAGCTTTTTTCTGTAGAGCTGTTTAAATGTTAAGCTTTTGTAACTTCGTTTCATTTGTTAGTATTTTAATTGGATTAGAATAGATGCTTAAGTTCAAAGCAGTTATGAATTTAAGAAACAAAATATAAATTTCAGATCATTGTACCGATTTCTGTTTTAGTCTGGCTAGATATGTTTTAAGTGATAAAGTGTATTATACACATCCATTTGCATAATCTTAAATCAACTTAATATTACTAGAAGTAATTTTGTGAATGTTGACTAGCCTTGGAATCAACGTTGAGCTTGATGCCTGTAGCTGTCGTGGCCTAATCGTTTTAGTGGTTAACACATTTCAGAAGAGTACTGAGTTAGAGTCATAGTGGAGACACCAACACAAACTGGAATATCCATATGATGAGTCCTGATTCGGTCGAAATACGCCTCGTCAAATCGGTTCTACTGATAGTTTTGATACATCCTAATTATTTCACGTTAGTCGCCAGACATTGTGGAAGCATCCATGCTAGAAGGTGTTGGCACATCGGTAGGCTGGACATTTTGGTTCAATCAGTTGGCGTCCCAATCAAAACTGATAATAGCAAGAGAAGGAATGGAAACTAATCAGGAGTATTGGATGGCAGTTTTGTCATAGTTTCGGAATCATTGGCATTACGCATCTGTTGAGTGGCGTAGAAGTTAAACATTATAGATAATGACTAATTGAGTCGGTCTCACTGACTAAATGGTCTACGAGCAAGCATTGCTTGTAAAAGAAAGACCCCAGTATCGACCTGCTGTGATAGTTGTTACCTTTTGAAGAATCTCAAACTAATCTGACGAAACAGCTGACTGTCCAGTATTCTGCAATCGTTTTTAGCTGTTATCCAATTGATATAAATTCATGATGACAGTTGAAGCATTCGAATCCCTTTAAACTAACCCTGGCGGAAATTTATCAAAATTGAATGAAATTTTAAAAAACATATTACAGGGCTATTCATTCTCTCGTATTTTATGACGATTGAGGTGTCTTATTGGAATTGTATGCGCAAAAATTTGCTCTCACTGCAATAATGATTGATCGTAGTTTGATTTGTAGGCTAAAATGCTCCTGATTAACTTATTGTACAAGTGTGTTTCATGTTTAGCCATTAGTGAAAATGACAGGCGGTCTACAATCTGAATCTTCATGATAGTATTTGAATAATAATATTAGTCATATCTCTTGAAGTCCTAAGGAGGTGAATCGTGAGCACGAATACATTGTTGCTGACGTCTCTGACTGCAGCACTGAGTAACGCTATTTCAGGCTTCAAATAAAAGTTGAGTTCAGTCATGGTTTCAGATACTCTATACTTGTGAGTGGCAAGAAGCACCAGGGAAAAGGATACCTGCTTACTGCCCCCAACTGTTTAAAGTTTGAAAGAAGACTTCTTCTTATGGCCATCAACAGATAAACAACATGAGTCATAGTTAGTGTAAAAATGTGTTCTAATCCTAATCGGAATATTGAAAATTTCGGCTATAACTTGCGTTATCACTGGTTTAAAGAGTCCTACATTATTAGGACACCATTTCACTGTTGACAGTAATCGCCAAATGTAGTAGAAGAGACATTTCATTAGGTGGTTGCTCGACAGGGTTCAGTTTATTTCGTAACACCAATAATAATTGATAAATATAATAATATTAAAGTAGTGAAAGTTAGATATTCGGATCAGACTTTTTTGATTTCAGTGTACACAACTGTTTAACTAACAATTTCCATTTTATATACTGCCAGCAATACGAATGAGGGGATTACAGATGGTGTGTTTGTGTGAGATAAGCAGTAGAAGGGTTTGTACACAGGGGATGAAATTCGTCTTCAGCTGAACCTGTAGTGTGGTTATTTTTTGATTACAGCTTGATTCTACACCGTATTTTGTGGTACAGCTATGGCATTTTCAGCATGTGATATCGGTAGCCCAAATTTTGCAGGCTAACCATGTATACCAGGTGTGCGTCGGCCGGGGATCAAACTCCGTGCCACTGATGCACACGAAATACGACAACAGGAGGACGTGGCGTGAATTCAGCACGGAAGTAGTTCCGCTGTATAATAAGGTGGAAAATATCAAACTCCTGAAAAGCTTATTCCCATTGAAATATTAGTAATCTAGTGACTAATAATCGAACAATGATATTGTTATTACTAAGGCAAAACCTCTTGTGGGCTGCCTAACATGAAGGCTTTGATAAATATGTCGCTACTCCTCAATAACATTTGCGGGGTTTCGGTGATGGTTTTAAGGAATGTAGAAGACCCCTTGTCTGAAAAGAGTGAAGTGCTAGATGTTGTCACATAATTTGAGTGGGACGACTACTTCAAAGAAGCAACAGCAACCATCGGGGGATGAAAGAAAGACGAAAGAGTAAGCTGATTGGTGTCGCAGCCTAAAATGAGCTCAGACACGAATGATTATGCGCAGCACAATATACTTAATAACAACACTCCAATGAAGGATATCTTGTGTATGATTTATTTCCATCACCAAATTGTTTATCATTGGTTAGTGTGAAAGTGAGAAACGCTTGAGGAAATTTTGTTCGTATGCACCATAAATGACTCGTTGGATTTCTTTGAAAGAATAATGTATCTAACAGATGCCTTTGTATATGATGACATACGGTGCTTATTTCCAAGCATGCTTGCTCAGGAAACAATAAATATCATCTGTCAATACAAAGAAGATATCCTTCTGTCAATGGCTGAAGTAGGGCGTCAACTGATTTGTTCACTTTCCGAGACATGTGGCATCGAAGAGACGATGGACTAAATCACTAACTCCATAATGAAGCATTTAGTTGAATGCAGGCATGCAGATCTCATGCATATCTTAGTAAATTCAATTAACATAGTGAATCATGCAGAGACAACTTTGTCAAACACACATGTACTGGTGACACATTCACAATGATTAACCACTTGGATTGTACAAATATTTGAGAGAATTTGTTTTGGTATTATTATTACTATCTTGATGATCATTCACTGATTCATAAGTAGAATATGGAAACAATTTATATATATATATAAACCTACGTGTCCACACCCACAGCCACATCTAGGGCAACCGTTT